TAGAGAGAGAGAGTTATGGAAAGTTTAGTCTTCTAGTGTCCATGTGATTTATTTTTTAGATTTTTTCCACCAAACTCTGGTTCAGTATAAAGGGAGGAAGAAAGTAGTGGCCAATGTAACAGTTAATGGTCAATTATTACATTGTAGTATATTTCCAGTTTAATTCTGTTTAGCAGCTATAGTTTGCTAAATATTCAATGTTCCCATCTAACTGTTTGATTCCCATATATCTTTGATACAGATATAAATGAGTGTGATCTTCGGAAATCAGATCCTGAGAAGTATGAAAAACTATATCCCTGTTATAGTGGTAGCACATATGCCATGATACACAGGGTGGTTATAAATGCAAATGCAAATTTTGACTAAGGGGAGATGGTAAAAGTGAAAAAGGATGTAAGCTCATATTGCCCATATATAGCGATACTAATATTTGGTGAGGATTTACTCATTGCATAATGATGTGCTAGCTCTTTCATTTTGTGATGGAAATTATCTTCAATTGGTATTTTTAATACTGTTGCTGGCTATGAAAAATTAAAAATCACTTCAATTTGTATAGTTGCACAATACAAAGGTATGCATGTGATCTAAGACTGGTTTATTCTTTTTTTATGCTACTCGTTATTATGACACAAGTAGCTGTACATGATAGTTTTTGTCTTCTTAAAATCATGATTAGTTCAATGCTTTGTAAGGCATATATATCGAATGGATTTTGAGATCCAAAGTTGTAGTTTGAGGTAAAGATGAAATTATTTTAATGATAAAAGGGAACTGATGTATTGTTACCATTCCATTAGGTGCCTTTGAAATATTTTAGACGGTTTGTACCATTAAGAAGCATAAACGCTAAGGAGAAATTCTTAATTTAACAAATCCACTGCAACAGCATAGTTTACAGGCAAGAAAATGTAATAGACAAGTTTTAGCACAAATTAATTTCAGGAAGGAATAATGCATTGTCTGCATGCAACTGTATGACTGACAATCGATCCTGTTTCACTGTGGCTGCAGCAATATTTATTGTCATCGCCCTAGCAACTCTCGTAATTTTAGAGGCTAAGAGGCGAAAGCAAAGGAGGTTTTTTTGACGAAAACGGTGGTGACATACTCAAGTGCATGGGCATCAACATCTTCACGGAGGGTCAGCTGAAGAAAATCACAAACGGCTACAAAAACTCCATTGGAGAAGGTGCCTTTGGAAAGCTCTACAGAGGGATCACTGGTGATGCCCAACAGGTTGCCGTCAAGTGCTCCACTGCGAAAGGCGAGGTGCTTCCGCAGGAGGAGTTCGTGAACGAGATCACCTTCCAGTTCCGCATCAACCACGCTAACCTGGTCCGCCTCGTTGGATGCTGCCTAGAGACAGACGTTCCCATGCTTGTCTTAGAGTTTGTCCCCAGAGGAAGCCTTTACAGCGTGCTTCATGGCACAGGCAAGATGCACCTGCTGTCCTTGCCAGTGCGCCTGAACATTGCCATCGGCTCAGCGGAAGCTCTTGCTTACATGCACTCTCATGGTGGCCACAACCATGTCCATGGTGATGTCAAGTCAGGCAATATCCTCGTCGATGATAATCTCACTCCCAAGGTCTCTGACTTTGGCTCGGCAAAGCTTGTGTCTGTCGCTAGCAGGTACTCCAAGTGGTGTGTATCAGGAGACATGAGCTACATAGACCCGATATACATAAAGTCTGGCCGATTCACGAAGAAGAGCGACGTCTACAGCTTCGGTGTGGTGCTCTTGGAGCTCGTCACAAGGAAGCCCGCAAAGGATGGGGAAAATACAAAATAGCCTCTACATAGACTTCATCAAGTTATGCAAGGACGAGGGAAATGGAAGGAAGTTGTACGATGAAGAGATCTTATCTGGTGATGACGCTCGATCTCATCATCACATGGAGTGCCTCGACATGATCAGTAAGCTTGCAGTCCAATGCCTCAAGGAAGACTTGGATGACAGACCGACCATGGCTGAGGTGGTGGAGAAGCTTAAGCGAGTGAAGGCAATAGCCACCGGAGGCTCATGTTCTGTCACAGGTTAATAAAGGATGTCTGAACATCACTCTGGTATAGCTACTACTTTATAGCAAGACTTCAGCTTCATCCCCATATCCATGGTAGTCACGGTGGAGTACTTGAGTTGACTGTACTTTGAATTATATTCATGTAGTGTCGTGTCATCTTTATCTGTATCATGAGACTTGTTATTAAGACGCTTGTATTTTGTGCTTATGTAGACATGTAGTGCCACTATACAAAATATACTTCTCCGTCTAAGAATATAGCTACGTACATTATCAGGCGGTGGAGTATTATGTTTGGAAACATCACTAGCTAATGATCGTATGTTGATATGGGCAATAATCTTATTTGTTCTGGTTCAATTATTCATAGTTGTTTCGAATGAACACTATTTTCCTAGCGGTTCGAAACTGTCAAGGAATGAAATAAGCAAAACTGTCAAAGTATTTTCCAGACAGCAAACCGGTATGAAAATACCGCTAGGGACCGAATGTCTAGAAAAATTTCATGTCGATTAACCATCAAAAACATTTCTCGATACTTTCTTACTATTGGCCAACAGAAAAAACTATGCAGCATCAGGTTTGTTGATTTTATTCATGTCAACATAAATCGACGGGGAATAGTTTTCCCTATAGGTGCTCTATTGGCAGGGAAATTGTTGCTTCGACTACCCATTATGCTACCGACAAAGCAAATGAGACTTTTCATGTAGGTGAATGTCACACTATAATTTTTTTCTGATTTTATGATGTAGTTGGGTAACACAAATAAAAACAATGATTTAGCGGCTCATAGATAAAAGGAAGTCCAAATAGGAAAGCACCTGAGTTCATGTTTTCACATGCCCATTTTATTGAAATCAAAGATAGCAACAAAACACACACATGTGAAAACATGAATTCATATGTTTCAGTACTCGGTGACGGCTTTGGTTGAACCACAAACTTCACCTTCTTGGATAGGTATTGTACTTGCACTTGCGAATTATGAAAAATTAAGCACATGCATGTGTAAGCTCCAAGACTTATTCACCACTTGTAAATATTGAAGTGCAACACAAGGGTAGGTGTAATAAGCTAAATATTATTTTACAAAAACTAGTAGTTTAAAAAACAAGTTCACTTATGGGTTCCAAAAGTGTTTGAAAATGTGTATTAAATAGTTTTAAAACTTTCTTAAAAAGGGGGGTTAAATTTCTCAAAATAATTGTATATTTCAAAAACAAGAGTGAGAAATTAAGTTTCAAAAGGGGGTTTTGAAATTGTTTATTTTGTCATTCAAAACTAGATTCAAAATACCTTAAATGATTATTTAAAACAGGGTTCTAAAATATTTCAAAAGAGCTTAACAATAGTTTTAAATGATTTATCAAAATATAGTTTAAAAGGTTTGCAAAAGCAGGTTAAAAAGACATTAAAAATGTGTGAAAGGTATGAGAAGATAATGGTTTGAAACAAGTTCAAAATATACTTATTTTTAATCAAAATTTAAAGTTTGAGAGTTTGCAAGATTCAAATAGTATAGAATTAGTTTCAAAATTAGTTTGCAAATCTATAAAATCTTCAAAATCTGTCTTGGGCCGAATTCAATTCAAAACCAACCTAAATCTCCATCATTTTTTCAGCCTGACCTGCTTCTCTCCTCGGACCGAAATCCACCAGCCCAACTCCCTCCCCATGCCCTACATTCTCCGTTGCAAGGCTGGTTACTGGTGGCCCAGAAACCAATCAAGCCAGGCCCGCGTTTCTCCCTCCCGGTCTCATTGGCTCCTGGACCCCACATGTTATCTCTTGCCGCAGATACCTCCACCATTAACGTGGAGCTCGAGCTCCAATTGAGCGGCACCCCGAGCATTCCCGAGACCATCTAATAGCCCCACCACAATCCCCGTCCACCCTCTCCAATCATGGCAAAATGGAGATTGCAAAAACATGGCAAAATGGTAGAACGACGAACTGATATAATGTTTTACAATTATGCCCACACCACATATGTAACCCTCGGACATCATCACGCATATCTTATCACTCACATCTCACATCAAGGGAAAATAAAATTTTGAAATGTCACTACATATCTGACAAGAAAATACCTCTCAGAACAGAGCTCAAGGGGAAATACTTAAGCTAACAAAAAATGACAAGACATACAAACATGTCAAAAAGGAAAATCTGCACATGTTTCCTATACTCTAAGCTTGTCGATGGACTTGGAAAAACTGTTCGTATTCTGGGAATGTTTCTGTAATTCTTTCAACCAGGCTGTCTGGAAACGTTTGGGCCTGCAAAGCAGGACGTTTCTGCATCAGGGAAATAACCACCTCTTGTATGTCCACGTCATCTAGAGAGCCTGCGTTTACTCAAGAGGCAAGTGGTCATGAAACTATCCCCACATGTTTTAGGCAAAAAAGCAGATTGGGGTAACAGATGAAGGAACGTACCCAATTCAATGTCTTGGGTTTCTTCGTCAATGTCTCCTTCCTCGATAGCCTCGATTGACTCACCCACAGCAGCTAGTGCATATCTTTCAAGGAATTCCTCTTCTGTTTCTTCCCGCACATCATCGTCGTCCGAATCCTAATTGCAGTATATTTATCTTATAAGCAGTGTGCTTAAGCCTGACAAAAAAATATAGAAAGCAGTGTCTTCATTCTATTACCTCATCATCGCCTTCGGTGTCTTCGTCTTCATCGTCATCATCAAGATCTTCAGCACCATCGTCATCATCATTGTCCCCATCCTCTTGAACTTCCTTCAGCTGAATGCAAGATTCCATCAGTGATACATAGCAGTCTTGTAACACTTTGGAGCCACCCATGGAAAGGGACATAAGATGGTTAATCACAGTTGATAATGTTAGCACTGCATCAAGGAAACAAACAATTAAAAGATGACCCATGTTCATAGGATGTCAGAGAGAGAAAATATCAACAGCGTAAAACAATGCAGTGATCTGTACATAGCCACTTACCAGCTAACTTGATCTCGGATTCAGATGACAGGCCAGGATTGAATGAGCTGCTTGAGACTTGTGCCAATGCAGATGTCCAGATTGCAAAACCATTACCATCAAATTTGTTCAAGACTAGTTCAATGGCATCTGGATAGCAAATGTAGCATGAAGATATTGCTAACAATAGTGGTTTCCATAGCCCAGCAGGACTGTCAGATATAGACTTGAAGCGGGAAAATGCTGCTTGTGCAAAGGATTCAGCAATAGTTTTTCTAGCATCTTGTGTTCCAAGGGAGAAATTTGGAGCGTGCAGTAGTGTATGGATGCATGAGCATGCCCTCCATGTTGCAGATGGGTAAGCTGCAATTGCCTTAGTCACAAAATTAGAAACCCGCCCAATGACTGAACTCTGTGAACCATTTTCAGACTGCGATGGAAGCATTTTCAGGAAGAAACCATCAAGGTCAAATCTTTGGTGGAAACTGACAGCTTCTTTAATTGCGTTGAAAACACCCTGATCCTCCATCTCCTCCCAGGAGTCCCAGTTAGCAATAGTGTCAGCCCATATAGCTACCAGCTCAAAGACCTTCATACTTGCAGTTTCTTCCATGCAAGTAACAGAACTCATGACAAACTCAAGTAACACAGAAGCATCATTTACACATGACGGAGGTGGCAATGCAGAAACGATGTTCTCCTGAAATGAATGTTGAAAACAGTCAAGCAAATTTCACTGCATGAATACCTCAAGACAACAGGTCAACAGCAAACGTAACATACCATATTGTCAACTTGCAACAACCAAGCTTTTTGTAACAGTAATGAAATTGTTTGAGCAATAGCAGACTGGCCTGACTGCCAGACCCTCTTTTCATGTGTCTTGTTTTCATCTGGTGCAGAGCTCTCCCAAGCTTGAACCATTGCTACAAGGGCTGCAAAACCCTGTTCAACAACCTACATAGCAGATATATTAAATAGTGTTGTTGGGATTTCCTCAAGGAATCCAATACACCAGTAATACTGGGATATGATGAAAGGTGATCATACGGGCATGACTGAGAAACATGCATTTCTTATAATAAAGTAAGCTGTCAGTAGTTCCAAATGAATTTTAATCGTATTAATTATTCTATTGAAAGAAGTTTACAAGGTAACTTGAGATTCTTGTGTCCGATTTTTAGTACCAATATGTATACTGAATCAACTAGTCCATAATTTGCCAAAGGCCAGAAATAATATTGTTAATACGAAAGTAATAACTGATCATAAGATTAAAAGCAGCCATGGTGATTTAACCTCCTTGCACAAAGTACCAAAATATTGACCACACAAAAGAAAGATGCACTACTACCTGAGGCCAAGGATCTGGGACAGGGGGCAGGAGCTCCATTACAGTATTAGCAATGTTAGACACAATTTCAGGAATATGAGAGAGAACTTTTTTTTGTCCACCCTCAACTATTGTGCCCAGAAGCTTAAACAGAAAAGCAGACTCATTTTCGTCTCCGGTACTTATTCTTTTCACAACCACTTGCAAAGAACAAGCCAGTCAGGTGGAGCATAACTATTCTGAAAAAAATCAGAGACAAAATATATCAGTTTATACTTCCAGGTGCAAGTAGACTACAATGGAAAATACTGCATTGACTCTTACCTCGATGAGTTCTGCAATAGCACCAGAAGCAGAGGCACAAACTGGATAACAATTTATGTCCTCCACATCCTCCATCATCAACGCCTTCATTAAGGACTGATAAATACTAGTACTCATGTCCTACAGGTAAGCAAACAAGAATTAGAAAGCCAAATATATAATGTACAGGAATATACATATTACATGAAGCCTTTACTTTGATCCAGCATGTCCTATGGGATGATGGAATTAAAAAACAGGGAAAGCATGTAACCTCTGGTAGGCATATAGCAAGCTGACCAATAACCCAATTAGCCGTTGAAATCAAATATGGGCTGCATGGATCCAAAGAATATAATGGAAGAATCCGGTATCTGATCAAAGTAATTGTCAAATCTTTCTTTTCAGTCAGAAACTGCAAGATGGATACTGAAATGAATTAGCATTTCTTATAAAATAAATTCATAAAATAAGACACATTAGAAGGATATAATTTAAAAATCTTACATCTTGGAGGCCTCCATATGCCATCAAAACTCCAAAATAACTGAAATGAAACCATTTAGTACATCAGGATAAGAGTAAAGTAAATAAACATAGTGTTATGTCTAAATGTCTGTAATCCTTTCTTTTATGATAAAGACAATTGATTCTTATGATCTTACTTCCGCACTGCCATTGATGATGCATCTTCACCATGGGAAGGTATAGGAAATTTTGACAGGAATGGGATGACCAATAACTCCCCAATTGAGCTCCTTTCAGATTTCCCTTTACTTTTATCACCTTTCTTACGCTTGGATGCTGCAGATGCAACTGGTGGACCCTGAAACCAAAAAAAAATGTAAGTAAATGATACCGCCAGCTCCACATTTTATTTTAATTCAACAAACTACATGGTTCAGTGAAAAATAGCAAATGTGTATGGATTTGGAAGACTGTGCATGTAGCCACTGAAATCGCTTGATATACAATGAGTAAGTTATGAATTACAATATAGCAAAACAATCTTTTAAAATGTTTTGCTCAGCCTGAACTCAGTACTATGTGTGTTCAACAAACTAGAATAAAAAAATGAATCACAACCTTTGACAGCGCTATAACACCAAGTAAATTGATTGCACTTTTTCTGGCAGTGAACAAATCCTCAGTCCATCCTGAAATGTCATCCTGCCAATAAATATATCAGCAACAGAAGGAACACCAGGAAAAAAAAACTAGAAACGATGAATCCTGTCCTTACAAGTTCAGAAGGAAGATTCTTCTGCATATACTCATCAGTATCCTCCTCCCATTCTGCAATATCCTATTATAGACAAAAGTAGGACTTTGGACAAAAGTAGTGCATATTGGGCATGGTGTTATTTATGACCAAAAGATAGGGAGCTAACCTTCTCATTCAACGCTAATGCTGGAAAAATTGCTGAATCAAGAAGTGAAGAAAAATGTGGTGAAACTAGTCGCCATCCCTTCAAACAAAGGGAGCAGATGGAGATCAATTTTTGAACATATGAGAGAAATATCATCTCAACTATTTGGTGCAGATACTTACCGGTCCTGTTTCCAAAACTCGAGAAATCACATCAAATGCTAATGAAAAAATCCGATTGGGGAGAGAGTCAAGTTTCTGCAATCATTTGGCTATCTTAGGATCTAATCCAATAAGAATTAAAAACAATTATTCCAACATTCATTAATCTAGAATGTCAGCATTGACTCAGAATGCTAGTCTCCATCCTTTTGCACAAATAATTAAATTCTTTGAGATGTAGAACTTACACTTAAATGAATGCTTTGTTTTGATATTTTGATTGCGCAGTTGACAATATGTGGCATCTGGCTGAGAACATCAGAGCATAAGTTTTGAAGAAAATATTGGAGCATAGCCGCATAGGTAAAATGGAAAATATGCTAGAAAAGAAGAATAGTAAAGGCCAAAGTACATACTTATCTGCATGTTTCCGGTGACGTGTAACAAGTGCGCAAAATATAATGAGACACCTCTTTGCAATCTTGAGCCTCATGGTAGGTCCATCTTCAATAAGACTATTAAAGTTCAAAGAATCTAGTATACGGAACATGTCTTTGCAAAAGGAAGGCAAAATTTGTTTAACCCTAGATGGCATGTATGACCTCACCTGCAAGAGTATAACAATAAGATACCCATGAGAAAAGGTTAGCACTTAACAACATGCATGCCACAAATTTGATAAGCTGCAGTGCTGCACCACAAGTGTCAATGCACAGAGAAGCAACTAATGGATTTAGAAACCAAAATGGAAAAGCCAAGCCCAATATAGAAATCCTATAATACCACCATAAACAGACATGAAGCTCAACAACTCAACCAACCATTTCATTGATTTACCTTCCCAGATTTTAATAATTGGCAATATTAAATATATTCCTGCAAATGATACTTAGCTTTCTGATAGCAAATTTGTGGTTTTCTGCTTCGCCTTAATTACGTTGTTGTCATAATTCAAGAAAATGTCGTGATGACATTGTTAATACAAAAGGAATAGGAAATAAAAACAGGGCTTACAGTGAAATACATGCATTTGCATGTGATGAGTAGGAGCTGCTCATATTCCATGTTAGTCCCATCAGGTGACGACAGAACCTATTGCACACAGCCACACACCATAAATGTTCAACAGAAAAGATCAAGCTGGCTGTAACATTTAACTAAAAACAGAGTGCACAAACATAATACCTTGTCAGAGAAGTGATGGAATGTCACTTGCAATGGTACAAGAATCTCTGCTGCAATTTGCTCCAGCTGTTGTGGAACAGGCTCTTTTGTAACTTTTGGATTCAAGAAATACTGTAAGATGACACAAATTAGAAAAATTAAATATGCAACATATTAAAATACTATGGGTGAATTATGGAACATCAGTGAATAGAACTAAATAAATTAGTGTGGACAGTACAGATCTGATAGCAGCATACTAAACTTACTAGTGTATTGAAATGCTAAGTTATGAGTATAGCATCTCAAACAGAGTATACCGGGGAATAAGGATAAAAAGTAAACTCCAAAAAGAAAGGAATCAGCTTTCAGTTTTATTCATAGGAAAGCTAGTGACTACACTGAACAAGAAATTGGTAACTGTGGATGATACAAGCGCTACACTGTATAGACGTCAAAGTCACAATCATATGTTCATGCTTCTTGAGATAAAACGGAGGGTGAAACAGGTGGTTTTCAAAAAATGCCATAAGCATAGAAAGCAAGAGATGTACCTGGAAGGGCCTAACAACAGATTGAAGTACTTTGAGAGCATTAATTGTATTCCACTCAGGATGCTGGCCTGGACTAACTAGATTGCTGCTCTGGATCACTAATTTCAACTGAGGGATAAGCTCAGGCCACAAGTTATCCTTGACAAAATCTTTTTCAACAACTTGGCGGAACTGGTCAGAAGATATTGTAATCCGTTAGTAAAACAACCATAAATAAAACATACAAAACAGAGCTCTAACCACAGGGCGTTTGAGGGATATAAGAGTAAAGACTTACAACTTCAATCAGCACTCGAAGAATTGCAGGTTCCACTCGAAGCAAAGCCTGGGCAAGTTGGTCACGGAACTCCTTGTAAAGCTCAGACGAAGACAGACTGCTTTCCAAATTGCGCCGGGTAAAATTTTTCAAGTATGTCGCTGCAGCGACTCTCATCCCCTGATCACCATCCCCTATGACCACATCACAAATAGTAAGAACATAATCACCAGACTTTCAGAAGTAAATAATATCTAACTTCTGCTTCTGTTTAAAAGGAAATTTCTCTTTCCCAATCCCAAGTAAAAAACATGTGACTTGCAATCAATTGAATTATACCCATGGCCATAGTTGGTGAATTCATTCGTATCCTTCAATCCATGATTTTCCTAATTTTGGTCTTTCAACGTGCATAAACAAAATCCATACATGGTACATGGCTAAGTTTTAGTAAAATTCAGGAGGATTTTAGGTGTAGTGCGTGCCAGCTTACTGTAGCTTATACGCCTATACGCATCAAACACTCAGAGCTACCAGTCGCATCATTAGAGCCACGCAAGGTATTAATTCCCGAAGGGGAAAAGGCATTATTTTTCACGGAATTACAGTGAAATAAGAGACCAGCCTATGCCAACCACAGCGGCTACACCGCGGGAAGCCCGGAACAGAATCCACACACGGGATCCCCAAAATTGAGCTCCAAGTAGAGAAATTAAAGGCGCAAGCTTTCGTAAGACGGCACGGAACTAGAGCTGGAGCGGAAGCACAGCTACAATTTCAAGCAGCGGCTGGAGCAAGGAAGGGTGGGGGTACCTGCGGCGACGGCGAGGATGGCGAGGGGGAAGCGTAGGTCCGCAGCGAGCGCGTCGAGGCCCGCGGCGGCGGCGTCCACCGACGCCTTGTCGGGGCTGAGGGTGGCGGCGAGGAGCCGCCGCAGCTCGTCGCAGGCCAGGGCGGCGGCGGTGGTCTCGAACTCCATGGAAGCTGAACCCTAGGATATTTTCCCCCCTTTCCCTTTTTTTGATTGACCAGCTGGAGTGGCAAGTGGAGGGAAAGAAGAAGGGGGGTATTGCGCGGGAGAGTGTGGCGGGAAAACGAAATGTTAGTAGCAAATCATCTAAGGGCCAGGAAAAAATTAGGGTCCTATGTGAGTGTTTGGGATTCTCTCTCTTTTTTCCACTTTTTGTTTTCTCCATGGTTCTTTACTTTGTAGAACTAGAGAATACCCACGCGTTGCCGCGGCAACTTTCAAATAAATTAAATTAAATATGTCATGCAAAAAGAACATAAAATGGAGTACAAATTGAATAGATTTCTTTGCACCCCTAAAAAGAATTTACCGATATGTTACTCTAAAAATCATGCAAATGGACCATCAGCGCATGCCTGCTCTAATCCTTGTAGAACCAGATGGATAAAACAATAATTAGCAATGGACATAGATATTTACATGTACTATTTTTGCGGGAAAGGCAAGAATATGCAAATATCTTAGGTTGTGTTGGCGTGGTATTAGAGGAGGATACATTACATACTAATTAGGACAATATCGATGGTTAGGTGACCCTTTGACTGTAATGTTATCTCAACCAACATCTTCACGTCTCCGTCCCTTCCGATCTTGACCGTGCTAGCGGCTGCCCGTAAGCGCACCGACGGTAGCATCACCTTTGTCATCATCAGATGCTTGCAGTGTGGGCATGTGGCCTTCCGCTTCGACGCATCCGAGTACAGCTTTCGCCTTGTTCGTGCCCGGCAGCAGCTATAACGTGCACGCACATATGGTCCTTACTCTGGTACAACCACCAATGCAACACACCAGGAGGCTTAGCACAAAATTGATAAAACTATTTACCGGCAGCACCTTGCTTCATCGATATCTTGCCTTCTTTGGTCTCTTGGAACTTGGAAGCCATGTATGAAATCCACGGGTTGCTGCTTCCTGATTTCTTATTTAATTTAATTTGGTGAATGGTTGGGTCACGTACATAGTTGAACCAACTGGAGACGGCCTCTTTGCCGAGGGCTTCTGGGTTTGCCGAGGGCTAGATCTCGGGCACTCGGCAAATGAGGTCTTTGCCGAGGGCCAGCCCCAGGAGCCCTCGGCAAATCCAGGCCCTCGGCAAAGAAATGGCCATCGGCAAAATAAATCTTTGCCGAGGGCCGCCCTCGGCAAATATGGCCGGATGGGTCACGGCGGCTACTGGCGTCAGTCTTTGCCGAGTGCCCGCCGTCAGACACTCGGCAAAGATTTTTTTTAAAATATTCTTTGCCGAGGGCCATTAGCCAGGCCCTCAACAAAGACCCCCTTTGCCGAGGGCCAGGTTAAGCCCTCAACAAAGATTTTTATTTTTTTTAATTATTCTTTGCCGAGGGCCCGTTTAAGCCCTCGGCAAAGATTTTTTTTTTATTTTTTGAACCCAGTATCAAAAAAAAGTCAAATTTGGCCCAAATTTTAAAATTGAGTTTTAAACAATGTATTATAGCACAAAAAAAACTGGGTTCAAAAAACCAAAAAAAAATCTTTGCCGAGGGCTTAGCGTGGCCCTCGGTAAAGGGGGTCTTTGCCAAGGGCCTAACCAATGACCCTCGACAAAGAATATTTAAAAAATAAAAAAAATCTTTGCCGAGGGCCCCGGATCTGGGCCCTCGGCAAAGGGCCCTAAATCGGCCAGCGGGTCAAAATCGCCGCCCACATAACACCATTACGCCGCCAGCTTTTCCCGCCCGCCTGCCTCCTCCCTTCATGCCCACCCCCCCCCCCGCCGCTTCAACCGCCTCTCTCCGGTCGCGCCCGGGCGCCGTCGAGGGCGACTCTTTCAAGGCTTCGGACTCCTCGCCGTGGCCTCGGGATGATGGCTCCGTCGCCGTGTGGAACCAGCCCGAGCATGATCAGTCCGGATCCGCCTCCTCGCCCGCTTCGCACTTGAGATCTGCTCCCGCTCGATTGAATTGCATCATGTTTTCACTCGGGGAAAGCGGAGGACGCCATGGTCGCGCGTATGGAGAAGCACACCGGGCTGTGAGTCGCGCTGGGCTGGCTAGTTAGTTTTACGCTACCGGGCGTTCGACGGGGTTGGCGTCGTGTCTGATTATTGCGTTTGTGTTCGGTCTCGCCAGTTTTGTGGATCGGAGTTCATGAGCTCACGCCGAATAGGCTCGCTCGGGCTGAGCACGCAGGGGAGCTTTGCATCTGGGATCTCAAGAACCTGTTGAGCCAATTGTGTACCCACCACTCAAGGTACTTGCCGCTTTTGTACAGAGCTTATTGTCATACAAGAGGATTAAGGATTTGCCCGATTGGTTAATGGTTATTCATGAGATGCATGGTTTCTGCTACTCACGGCTTGTAATGATTCAGTGGTGCTTTTTATTCCATGGTAAACATGATGCCATCTTGCGTGCTTACGGTGACCCTAGCATGATTTTTGTCATTCCAGACGGAGATGTTTTGAGTTATATGTAGTAGCATTCTCATTTTTAATTTTCATTCAGTATGAGCAGAACTGGCTACACTATTTGATGCAGGGATGAAACTGAGGGACTTTAGACTGATTGTGCAAGATTATAGTCGTCCTTTATGATCTGGATGTTTGCGCCTGTGCTACACTAGTCCGTTGAATGCAAACCAAGTTTTTCCCCTGTAGAGTCCTTCATGTTATCTTACCGCGTTTCCATGCTTGTTCTTTCATATGATCGATGTGGGTTGCTGTTAATGAAAAAATAAAGTTGAGGTTTAGGGCACGTGACATAGTTGTAAAGCAGGATGTGTTTGGATATTTCAGTTATGTCACTATGTTATGGCTACATTCTTCTGTTCAACCTTTTATAGCATGTAATCATTTTTTAAAGTATAATAATTTTAACAGAGTGTTGGGTCCCATGCGCAAGCTGAAATATCTTGTTTATCCTGGAATCCCAAGTTCCAACATATAATTGCCTCAACTTCGAGTAATGGGAAGACAGGTAAATTAAATTTTGGTTGATTCTGCAAAAGTTTAGCTATCAGTTACCATCACTTGGACTTCTGATCATTCTGTCTGACTAATTTTGTTTCCCTGCAGTTGTTTGGGATTTAAGGAATCAGAAACCACTGATTTGCTAATCCCAGGGCACAACCTGGAGGATCTCCTTTTTAAGAATTTCTTTGGCCGGAGGTTTCCCACCTGGCTAGGTACTGCTACCCATTTTCCTTCACTGACATATTTGAACCTCATAGATTGCAAATCATGTATGCATCTTCCACCAATCGGTCAGCTCCCCAACTTGAAATATCTGAGAATCCAGGAAGCCACTGCAGTCACCAAGATTGGACCCGAATTTGTTGGCTCTGTGGTGGGTAATCTCAGATCTCCAGAGGCAGTAGCTTTCCCCAAGCTTGAAACATTGGTCATCTGGGATATGCCCAACTGGGAGGAGTGGTCCTTTGTTGCTGAAGAAGAACAAGAAGAAACAACAGCAGGTACGGAAGGGGGAGAGGATGAGGCTGCTGCAAATCAAAAGGAGGAAGCGCCGCCTCCAAGGATGCAGCTGCTGCCACGACTGAAGGAGTTGGAGCTTGACCGCTGCCCCAAGCTGAGAGCTCTCCCACAGCAGCTTGGACAGCAGGCCACCAGCTTGGAGGAGCTCCGATTAAGCGATGTGAACAGCCTTAATGTGGTGGAGAACCTCGGTTTCCTCTCAGAGGTCCTTGTAATCGTAGATTGTGAAGGCCTAGAGAGGGTCTCAAATCTTCCCCAGGTGAGACAGCTGCGTGTACAGCTGTGTCCCAACTTGTGGTGTGTTGAGTACCAGGTGACTAATATATTGTGATTTGTGGTTCACAATTATGGTTGTGATATATTGTGAGAAAATGGGTTAAGTGATATATATATATATATGTGATGGTTGATATATATACGTATATATATGAAATGCTTGTGTCGATGGAATGCAAAAAACAAAAACAAAAAATTATGCCTCTTTGCCGAGGGCAATGACCAAGGCCCTCGGCAAAGAAGGGTCCTTTGCCGAGGGCCGTCCCATTGCCCTCGGCAAAGATTCATTAGAAAAATTCTGGAACATTTCTTTGCCGAGGGCCATGGTTGGAGGCCCTCGGCAAAGACTTTTTTAAAAAAAATTAAAATTTCTTTGCCGAGGGCCTGCGGGGAAGCCCTCGGCAAAGATTTTTCAAAAAAAAAGAATAATTCTTTGCCAAGGGCCGTCCCATTGCCCTCGGCAAAGATTTTTTGAAAAAATTCTGCAACATTTCTTTGCCGAGGGCCTCCACCATGGCCCTCGGCAAAGATTTTAAAAAAAAAAGAATAATTCTTTGCCGAGGGCCCCCGGAGACGGCCCTCGGCAAAGACTCCGTCCCAGGCGCCGGCGCCGTGACGGCTGCTTTTCTTTGCCGAGTGCCGGTCCAGCCCTCGGCAAAGGCTTTGCCGAGTGCCCGATAAAGGGCCCTCGGCAAAAACCCTCTTCGCCGACTCAAAATTCCCCGAGAGCTCTTTGCCGAGGACCGCCCTCGGCAAAGCCTTTGCCGAGGGTTAATGGGCCTCTTTGCCGAGGGCCCGTCTCTAGTAGTATGCTTGCCTGTGCTTTTATAGAAGCAGGACATGATTAGGGAGATGTTGAGTTTTTTCATCAGTTTCAAAGCTAAGGTTAACGGCAGTCACTTTGGCTTCTAAGTGCATTGCACTGGTAGCGATGCGACTGATCTTAATTGGCTAGCAATGGTGGGAAGCAGTTTTATGATAAACAATTGATACATGCATACGACAATTAGTACAGTGCTTTGCATGTGCATATGGGAAAGGAGAAACGGCAAAACGATAGTGACAATTAAGTTGTGCGTGTATGAACATGATGATGACGTGGCTGCATGAGGACTTGTGGTGGTGGGACCCTTGGATTATGTGGCCTCACGAAATCGTGGGAAAATAGGCCAGTGGGGTTCTCCTATTTAGGTATAGTAGATTTCACTTTTGTGCAATTGTTTGTTTGGCTACCATCCATGAAAAAAGTGTATGTATGTGTGGGGGTGTCACTATGATGCTTTATGTTTGAGTTTCAGAATCTAAGTCAAACATTTTTTCCGCTATGTATGATCATTGGTCTATCATTCGGAGAATAATTCAAGAATCATTTTTCGCGTGTCGTTAGAAGAATAACTTTCAAGCACCATGGGCCAGAATGGTGTGGTTGATGTGGAGCCTCGCCATAGCAAGCTCGAATGATGCCGATGAATACCGTCCGAGCAATCATGGAAGATTAGTTGTTGCATCACCCAAGAAACAACAAGTTTGGGGGACATTGGGACAAGGGGTTCTCCCTTTTTTCAAGGAAGTGGCTGATATTTTTGCTTGAGGAAAGGAGGAATTTTTCAGACCAATGGTGGTATTTGGGATTAGTCAGTGCACAAACCCTCATATTGTTAGTTTATCCTCATTACAGGGATATTGTATGATACATACAGTTGGATACACTTATAGAAGCAAGAAAATAAATAGAAAGGTGCATATACACCTTTATGATAATCAATTCAGAGTGTTCCATGAATTAATGGCGACTTAACCTAGCTATTTGTTGATTTAACATCATCAAGGGAAATATTGAAACATGCGAAGGGATGGTTTTGAGGGTTTGTTCAATTAGGAATTGCTATACCACTCAAGTAAGGATAGTTAAGGGCAGATCTACTATGGGGTTGGGGGTCTCGAGCGAGCCCCCTACCCCGCGCAGACAACGGAACATTTTTTATGCATAGATGAAAAGAAGGTAAAAAATGGAGGAAGATGAAGAATAAGAGGCCAAAGACAGAGAAGAAGAGGAGAAAGAGGAAGTAGTAGCCTCCTTTATAGCGATCCTAGATCCAACATTAATGATAGCTATACTAAATTGTTGACCTTGAGATCATCCATATGGAAACATAAACAGCCATAATTTGATTTTAGCTTAGGATAAAATTGAAGGTGTGATTATCTAGTCAATTTGTATTTACAACACTGAGCTAGGGGTCAGGTGTACGATGCAACAGGAACAAATTCAGCTGCTATAAGGAAAATGGAACCTACCTAGTGCCATCTATGATTTTGGTGATTGTTGACAACATGATCATTTGGACTAATGTAGTTTGCTAATATACATGGTATTTAGTCAAATGGATGCAAGGATGTGCTTGGACAAAAGGCAACATGAAGACCAAGTGATAAAAACCTCAAGCATTGCCAATGAGTTATGTTGAAGACTATAGAATACATGCAATAAGTTCAAGATATCAAGTACTCGAAACCCTGACAAAAATACGTGAAGAAATGAAGCTCAACGCGCACTGGTTACATGCAGCGAAAAAGGTTCAGTGGTAGGCCTGAGGAGAGCATCGAAAGAAAAAGCTCACTATACAAAGGGGACAATCCAGGCGTCTTACATGGGTAGCACCGGAGCTTAGGCTCGAGGCCGCAGAGAAAAAAGTGGCTCTACAGAAGGTTTGTGAAGCCGCCAGACAATTGCGCGCTTTGCAGAAGCTACACGGAAGGTTTCTGTCGCCACCAGAATTCTTCGATAATCACCGGAGAAAAGGTGTCCACCCTAACGGTCGATAGTGGCTAGTCATAATGGCTAGTACACGTGGTAGGAACCGAAATTTCTGGTGTTGTCACCGGAGCTTTCTAATGAACATTGCACGAGTGCAGTCTATTGTAAACGGCTATATCTCAGGGTAGAGGCTATGTATACCCGTCAAGCCTGCCAATTGAGGATCATTGCTAGTGAGTTGAGGCTCGTCTTAAGATGCTCTAGCCACCATAGTGCTTTAGGAAAAATTAGGTGCATTAGTTAGTGCTTTGCAAAAGTGCTTATGTTAGTTAGGCCTGTATATTGACGCTTTGCTCTAGTCTTAGGCCCAGTGTTTAGTGAAGTTTGCATAACTCTTGCCACTCAGTACTTGCACACTGTTGTTGTATACTAGAGGCTTATTGTCTTGCGATATCCTCCGATGTGTGAAGTTTGAATGCAGACGCCTGTGGTGACTTTATCAATCTCGAGATTTAGCGGTCAAACTCAGTTATTTAGGGGTGCTCATATGAGTCGATCGTGTGTGTGCACGTTTACAGAGGTGAGTATACGCTCGTGTATATGAATATCTACGTCTGTACCGGGTATCGGGTCTCATGAGAAAAATAATAGTGGTAGTTCATTTTATTTTCTGAGGGAATTAATGGTCGTTCATTCATCGTAAATAAATAAAGGGGCAAAAATTGCCGTTGGGATCATTGGAGCGCAAAGTGCTCCCACCGAATCTCCTCCTCCAGACCACAACAAAACGGGCCTCTGTTCCTTGTGGGAAAAAATAAATAAAACTGGGCCTTTTTTTCCTCCTCCTACGCCGAGAGCGTGGAACGCGCCAAAGGCCCAGACAGGCCCACGGCCTGGGGAAGCATCGCCGACGTGTCGCCGTGTTGGGTGCGCGGTGTAGGTTGCGTGTGTGGCTACAAAGCGAGCAGAGCACAGCAAAACAGCAGCAGCACAGCGGTAGCTGCCTAACCAACTGACACCAACCTACAGTACTACCGCTGCATGCAGATGCATCATCTACCGGTCAGCCTACCAGCATTACATCGGTCAGGAGGCCCATCCATCCGTTCCTCGCCGCACCTGCCACCAAACTCCAAACTCACATTCCCTTCCTTCGCTTGCAATTCAGCACAAAGCCAACCAACCATCCAATTCTCATCAGACAGACAGAGGAAAAGGAAAACACATGTACGGACCAATGTGCACCGCCTGGTCAGTGGTCACAAAGCTTGACGAGGTGGGTGCCGCCATTCCAGTTCATATGTATATGTACTGCTACTATACATATATATTAGTGTATGCTTTTTGTGCCACTCGAAATGCATAAATGTTTGAGACCCAGCCGTGTCCACTAACGTCAACCACGTTTTTTGACCAAAATAAGAAGAGTCGAGCAATTTATATTTGCATCTGGTCAAACATTGCTTAATATACAACTACTTGGTCGCTCACTAGTGGTACAACCGCCATCAGGTCAACACACGAGTTGATGATACTACCTGCACGTGGTATTTGACACACGCACACACGATCTTGTACTAGTAGTACAGCGCTCAACTTCTTTCTTTATTTATTTTCCCACCATTTTCTCCCCTTTAAGAACACAATTTTCTCCCTATAAAAAAAAAGAACATAATTTTCTCCCTCGTTGTTTTGGACTTCCAACACAAAAAAAGGGTAACTTGTTGATGTACAATATCATTGCAACACACAATCAACAAACAACAGCGTTCAGCCCCAGCATTAGCAAAGCCTCCTCTGATCTTCTCTCTGTATATATAAACAAAACCATCCTCTGTTCTTCCCTCTCGCTGACTGACTAACGTGCACCCGGCACGCCCAGCGCCAGTCACCAACCAGCCCACCTTCCAGTCCAACGCCTTCTCCTTCCCTCCGTCCCTCGCCATGGCGCGCAAGAAGATCCGGGAGTACGACTCCAAGCGCCTCCTCAGGGAGCACCTCAAGCGCCTCGCCGGCATCGACCTCACCATCCTCTCCGCACAGGTCAGTGCCTCTGCGTCCGCGCCGCCTCCCTCCCCCATTTCAGTCTGACCGGCGTCTAGAGAGTCTTCCCCTGATCCTTCTCGCACTGGATCTGGCCTGGGGTAATGTGAAGATCCGATTTTTATGAGCGGCCGACGGATTTAAGCAGCCGCATTCCTAGGATTTTATTTAGCACTGAATGGTTTGGACTGCCTTAATCGGTACTCTAATTCCTAGTAGTAGAAAATGTGGCGTGTTAGGAATTAGAGATGGGATCTGGACAGAGTGACAGACAGCGGTTGAGTGGAGGTCCCATTCCATTTGTCGCAGGCTCGTGCTATGCTTGAATTTGTGGTATCTTAGGAGGAACTGCAAAAAGGTTCATTTTTATCCAACTGATATGAGCTATCGTTGCTTGCTGCTGTCCAATGGCAGCAGGTGTGATAGGCTACTGATAGGTAGGAGGAGTCTATAAGTAGCACTGTTTTCTTACTCAGATCTGGTGGTTGGTTGGCCGTGTGATTTGCTTGTTCAGGCCTGTGTATATTAATTAGTACACCTGAAGCAGCTTGGATCCGTAGGACTGGGACAGGGGCGCTCAGATTGTTGAATCTGGGGTATCTGGGTATTTTAAGTAACTGTACAATAAGCATACAAAAGAAATCCAACATCACCGGTTTGAATTATAAAATTGAACTCTGGGTCTGGGTGGTTCCAGTCTTATACAACTAATGATGATTGGACACAGTGTCATGTCGTCAGATAATAATAGACAGAAACAAATCGGACTGATTTTTGTGCCTTGCTTAATGATAGATCACACAGTCAACAGACTTTGCAGAGCTTCTGAGCCAGCAGCCATGGCTGACAACCATGAAGTTGGTTGTGAAGCCCGATATGCTGTTCGGGAAGCGTGGGAAGAGTGGTCTCGTGGCTCTCAACTTGGATTTCGATCAAGTCAAGGAGTTTGTCAAGGAGCGGCTGGGAGTTGAGGTATAGCAGTTGCTTATGTGAAAAAAACTTTTCCTTGACATGCTACAGGAATTGATTTTCTTTCCTGTGATCCATTAATTTTCAGGTTGAGATGGGTGGCTGCAAGGCTCCAATCACGACCTTCATCGTTGAGCCGTTTGTGCCCCATGATCAAGAGTACTACCTTTCGATTGTTTCAGAGAGGTTGGGCAGCACCATCAGCTTCTCAGAGTGTGGAGGGATTGAGATCGAGGAGAACTGGGACAAGGTTAAGACGATTTTTCTTCCTACTGAGAAGCCAATGACACCTGATTCATGTGCTCCATTGATTGCGACCCTTCCTTTGGAGGTACTTGATGCTTTCCTGCTTAGTTCTAACCTTAATACCTCCATATTATCTCATTTCTCACATTGGAGGTACTCCTTTTGTTTGCTGATCAGGCACGAGGAAAAATTGGTGACTTCATTAAAGGAGTGTTTGGTGTCTTCCAAGGTACCACAGAATTGGGAAATGTTCATTTGCCAGATGTAGTGAATTAAACATTGTACATGTCGCTATATTTCCTGATTTGCCATGTTGATAAGAATTCTGCTCCATCTGCAGACTTGGATTTCTCGTTTCTTGAGATGAATCCGTTCACCATGGTGAACGGGGAACCATACCCTCTGGACATGAGAGGAGAACTAGATGACACAGCAGCTTTCAAGAACTTCAAGAAGTGAGTCTCAGATTTCCCAGGGACACCATTTCTTCATGTCATTGTTGGATTTACTCTTACTTATCAATTGTGCAGGTGGGGAGGTATAGAATTCCCTCTACCTTTTGGAAGAGTACTCAGCCCTACAGAAAGTTTCATCCATGAGCTAGATGAGAAGGTATTGATCACAGGGCTATGTTTTTATCTTTCCTTTTTGTTTCTGAGGCCTATCACATATAGTTTCCATGAGAAATACTGGATCTGCAGTATATTTTGTTGACTAGTGTGTTAATTCGCCAACCTTGTTTTTTTAGACAAGTGCCTCTCTGAAGTTCACAGTTTTGAACCCGAAAGGTCGGATCTGGACAATGGTTGCTGGTGGTGGTGCTAGTGTCATATATGCTGATACAGTAAGCATCAATTTGTATCCTATTTCTATTTACACATAAAAGGTTTTTCATGTTGATGCCTGTTAAAATATTCACCTATATTTAGCTGCCATGATGAAATTAATTCCCCCCATGTACCAGGTTGGAGACTTGGGATATGCGTCAGAGCTTGGAAACTATGCAGAGTATAGTGGTGCTCCTAATGAGGAGGAGGTTCTGAATTATGCCAGAGTTGTACTTGATGTAAGCAAACACTGTAACCTTGTCAATGCTGCTCTTAACTCCACCTTTGGACCATCTTCTGCTTGGGACAATGTTAGGATCATCTGTTAACCGTACAATTAAATGCAGTGTGCAACTGCTGATCCTGATGGCCGCAAGAGAGCCCTTCTCATTGGAGGTGGCATAGCTAACTTCACCGATGTTGCTGCCACATTCAATGGCATCATCCGGGCCCTAAGAGAGAAGGTACCTAAGGCCACTCACTTTAGAATCCTCGCTGATGTTTGGCACCACTCATATCTGTTCACCTAATTGATTCTTCACCAATCACCACACGATTCACTTTCAGGAATCCAAGTTGAAGGCTTCAAGGATGCACATTTATGTTCGCCGAGGTGGCCCAAATTACCAATCTGGACTGGCCAAAATGCGCAAGCTTGGTGCAGAACTCGGTGTTCCAATTGAGGTACTGATCTAGTTGCCTTTAAGCATATTGGAAAACTTTTTGATGGAAATCCTTTAGCTCAGAAAATAGATGTGAAAAAGAATATTCAACCGATTGTTGTTGGTAGTTGCAAATCATTGTCAGCAGTCCACATAAATGAGCTGATTGTGTTTTGAAAAATCCATCGCAGGTGTATGGACCAGAAGCGACAATGACTGGAATCTGCAAACAAGCAATTGAATGCACCATGGCTGCAGCGTAATCGGAGCCTAGTTCTGGGTTGTTTGGGATCTGCAAACACGCCATTGAATGTGTCATGGACTCAGCATAAATGAGAGATGGGGAGTAGTAGTTGCAGTAGTTCACCACACATGGTTGTTCTCTTTTTTGTTTCAGATGTGTTGTAGCGTGTCGTTCGAACGAAACGTTTATAGATCATTACTGCAAAGAAATTACTGTTGTGTTAAAATAAATCCGAAGTCTAGTTTCGTGCGTTTTGGAATGCACATTGAACTTCATATGCAATGAAATGACCATCTCCTTCATTGATTTGTAATTAGGGATGGCAGTGAGTTTGTAACGATGGGTGTCACCTGCCCATACCCATTAGAATTTATGCTAGGATATTATTGTCCGCCTCCTAGCTTGTCTCTGCCCCTGGTGCATGGATATTATTGTTGCCACGAAATACGTGGAAAAATAAAAGTAGAGAACTAAAAAGACATAATACATAGAATATAAAAGAAAACGTCCACGTGGTCCTAACGAAAAACAAACACACAAATACAAATACTCTAGCTAGGTGCTTTGAATGTTCATGCGTCATTGGAACATAATGCAGGTTGCATGGTAATCTAAGGGGAAAATCCGTTTTTTCTCCCTGAACTATAAAACCAGTTTTTTGACCACCTCAACTTTTAGAACCGTTCGCTTTTTCGTTTTAGGTTGTTTTCATGGCGGTTTTGTTGATGTGGCGCCACATCAGAAGAGGTAAATCGGACTAAGTCGAAAGTTTAGGGAGGTAAACCAGACTATATTATTTTAAAAAAAAATCCAAACATTTATAAAAAAAATAGAATTTAAAAAATTATCTAAATATTTTTAGATGAAAAAATAATTAAATTATAAATCCTAAATCTAGTTTAATCTTACAAAATTCATAGAAAATTTGTTTTAACTCAGAAGATTCTAAAATTACAAAATCAGTTTCTTGATAAAAAATTCATAGAAAATTTGTTTTCTATCTTATGGTGCCTTGATTAAACAGGATGCAGCATGATTTTTGAAAAAAAAAATCTAAAACTAGTTTCATAATTTTTCGAGGTAAAGCAAAATTTCTATGATTTTCTAAGATTAAACTAGATTTTAGAATCTTTATTTGCATTATTTTCCCATGTAAAATGTTTGGATAAACTTGAATTTTTATTTTTAAGATTTTGTGCATATTAGTTTTTAAAAATATTTATAGTCTGATTTGCCTCCTGAACTTTCAACTTATTCGCACCACGCGAGCAAAACCACCATTAAAACCACCGAAGGTGCAAAAAAATGTTTTAAAAGTTGAGAGAGGTCAAAAAATTGGTTTTGTAGATCAGAGAGAAAAATCGGATGACCATGATAGTTCAAGGAGATCAATGGGAATATTTTTCCTAATTAAGGGGCTAGCGTAATAATATTGCACCCTGACCTGGGCTTCGGCCTATTGGACTGGACAGGCGCGGGTAGCAGCAGCCCGAAACGTGAGCTTGTACGTGCCCTTAAATCTGGCTTGATCTTCTTTCATAAATTTCTCCAGCATTCCTCCAAACCATCCAAATTCCTCCCAGCGAACAGGCCCAGCAGTACGAATGTACGACTCGCCAGTCGCCAAGGCAAGTAGCAGCTAGCGTGGTCGTTACTTTTGGCAAAGGTGGGCCGTGGGCTTGATTTTTGTTAGAACATTTTAGGACCCAAGGCCCTCGGAACAAACGCCACGCGAGTTTTCTCGTCTCTTCCCCTTTCCTCGCGCTACAGTCCTAACAGGGCGAATCGTAGGCGATCTTCTTTCCGGCAACCAAATCGAACTTTTCCCCTTGCCTCCGGCGGCCTAGCCAGCGCTGGAGGATTGGGGAAACTTCGATTTGGTCGTTCGGTGTATATACCCACTACTATTAGGTTTGGTTTAAGTAGGTTAGGGATAGGTTTATCCATGCCGGAGGTGTGACGTGGATCCTTCTACTGGTGCTGTTGCGTCTTCGGCAAGCGACGGCGTGGATGCGTCGAGGTTGGTTCGTGCCAGTTTGGGGCTAGCTCCTTCGATGTCTACGCCGGTTTCCCTGCCTACATGGAAGGCGACCGTATCAGGTATTTGACTGTGCCGGCGCTGAGGCATGGTCTTGTCTTCCTATGCTGCTTCGGCTCTAGCGAGCGATAGCGGGGATGCGACGAGGACGCCATGTCGACTTTAGACGTGGGCCTCTCCAACATCTCTGGTGGCTTCCCCGACTTCGCGAGCGGTGGCAACATCAGGTTCTGTCCCTTCCTACTCTTCATTGCCGCTGGCGGAAGATTCGGAAGGTATGGCTACCAACTCGAGGAGAGACCAGACTGGGTTATGGATCCCACCTTCTTTGGTGGTTCAGTTCCCCTTTGGGGTTCGTCATCGTCCGGTGTGCTGGGGGCTCTGGTCCTTGAGACGTCAGATTCCTCGGTGTCCAACGATGTGATGGCTGTCGGCCATCTTTTCCACCCGGGTCATTCTGCGGTTACAAAGCAAGTCGGGGTCGATGTGCTATACAAGACGGCAACAAAAAACTTTGTTTCTTCGCCGGAGAGGAGGTCGGCTTCAAGCAGTGTGCTCTGGCCGCCGGCGGCGAGGCAGGCCTGGAGGTGTTTACAAGGACCGAGTTGTAATTTTCGTTCCTTTCTAGGGTGTTCTTGTAAGATTTGGGCTGTAATCACCAAAAACTTTATGTGAAATATAAACCCGATTTTCTAAAAAAATACAGTTAGTATATTCATTATTTTACATTTCAAAATTATTGACATATATATCACGTGCACAATACACGTACTAGTACAAAAATAATTTATTGGAGACAACACCTTTTATTCATAGAAGCAATCTAAAAATTCATGTGTCTCCACTCGCCTAAAATACCTAGTAAACTTTAGAGGTGCTTCAACGAAGCAATCTAAAAATTTACTACGGTACATCCTTTACTCCTCAAGAAGTAATATCTGGAACAAATCATACCCCTGGATTTAAAAAAAAGATATATTTTTAAATGTAATAATATATTTATATAATTAAAATTAATGCAAAAACAAAGAATATCTCGGCTGGCCTTTCCTTTCTTTATCCCGACGCCGAGATTTTTGCTAGGATATTGTGCACATGTTATGTTGAGCAGAAATGCTCCCTGCACGTCGACCGGATGTACGGACGGACCGGACCACCCTACCCTGCCCGCGCTGAGCGTCGCACGTCCCAGCCCGTGCCGCCCACCGTATGCCCCCTTGCCTAGAGTCGCGCCTCTTGTCATAGCTGCGCTCTATCCGCCGACAAAATGCCCGTGCCGGACCTCTACGCCGCAGCCGACCTCCGCGCCACCCCGAGCCCCCGCTCGGATTCGCGTCTCCTGCCGCGGCTGCGCTCCATCCGACGACGTGATGCCCACGCTGGACCTCTGCGCCGCCACGAGCTCCATGCGCCGCTAAACGGCACCGCAGCGAGCTTCATGCGCCGCCGTCGACCTCTGCGCCGGCGTCGAGCTCCGCAACGACGAGCCTCCATTCGTCCAGGCCATTGCGTTGAAAGCACATGTTGCAAGCTTATGTTTTAAGTGTTTCAGATATTTCAGAGGTATGTTGCAAGTATTTTATATCGATGTTACAAAAATAGATCGGGATATTGTACATGTTGCAATGGTTATACACGTATGTTTCAAGTGTATGTTCCAAATATTTTATCTGTTTCAGACGTATGTTGCAGGTGTTTCATCAGGCTGTTGCAAAAGTAGATCTAGATATTGCATATATATATATATATATATATATATATATATACATATATATACATACTAGGTAGCGTGCCCGTGCGTTGCTACGGGATATCTAACATTTTGTACTTAAAAACACACGGATCGCACGATAAGATAATAATACTGTAAAAATTAAATACCAACGTTAAAGTGACATTTAATCCAAAAAGCAAAGTTTATGAATATAACACAGTCACGGAGTGCGCGGCGTCGCAGGCTCACAAACTCTACTTTATAGACCTTTCCGTGATGCGGCTAAGATAATGTTTTATATTGGTAGGAAGAAATCACCAATATCCATTTCTTTCGTGCTCACAATCTAATGACCCTGGTGCAACAAAGGGAAATACAAAGGAGCTATCCTCCCGAATGCGCGGAACCAACGCCACATCGTGACATCACACGACCATTGGTATGGTGTTGTTTAGCAGTATTGTTGATTATTATCGCTAACTTGCTTCGTTGATTTTATTCAAGTAATTTATGTTTGTAATTATGCAGGTGCTAATTCGGTTGATCCCATATTGGCACATGAGAAAAGTGGGAAAAGTCGACAAAACTCATGGTTTTGAGAACATACACGTGTAATAGTTAGGAATGGTTACAAAACGAAATATTATAAACAAAACACTCAAAGTGTCATTTTTATAACAATAATATAACACATGTTTAATTTTCATTATGCCATCACACAAGTGTATATACAATATCTCCGTGTAGAGTCTGATAAACCATTTAAAAATACCTAGGAACAGCAACAAATATGACATTAGTGAGATATTATTTGTACAATATAAATTGAATGGAATAAATGCATTGTATGTGTTAGTAATGTTATGTTACCTCGCCTATGGTGTTAGAACCTCCTTAAATACAATATTCTTCGTGAAAGTTTCATCCGCTATTGGGGTCTTCTTATCCTTATCTTTTTTATTTGACGCATTCTTATTTTTTCCCTCGACATTCTTTTTAGCATTTTCTTCTCTATCTTTTTGGCCTCCTCCTCTTGTGCCTCCGCATCAGGCGGGAGAACAAGGATCTTATATATTGGTTCTTGACGTGGCTCTAGACATCGCAACGTACAACTGACCGTGAGAGAACATCGATGTGGATAGGTACACAACCACGTTCGGGATAGTTTGACCCTATGACTTGTTGACCGTCATGGCAATGCTCAGCCTGATAGGAAAATGCTTCCTCTTAAACTGGAACGGGAACATCTCGTCATCAGGTAAAGATGTTGAAATTGGTTGGCTTGATTACATCTTATCCACCGATATAGGATTCCTTTTTCCAGCCCTTGGCTTTTGCTTTCATTCAAATATGCATTCACAGTTCCCTCATAATAGTTTCCAAGAGATATGCCAACAGATCAACAAGGCATAAAAAAGGGAGAAAGAAAAATGTGCCATAACTGCATAAAAATGTGCCACCGATATCCGCTTCAACCTCTGAGACTGTACTCTCTGATCAGTTTCTTCAATCTCAGCACCTTGCTCATTTGACTCCTTCAGTTCAGCATGCAAGGATACAATCTTTTACATGAATTAAGAAAAATAATGCACAGTATTTGAGGATATGGTTAGGGAATTTTTCATGTCGTACGAGTGTTGCCTTCAAATCAGCCAGTGCAGTTTTGTGGCAGTCAGGTACCATCATCCTTGACTCAGCTAAAACATTATCCTACAGAGGTGAAGTTCGTGTTTCAGACTTGTGACTTCTGAGATCAGAACAACAGACAATTTTCAACAATGACTTTTCAGTTTTCACAATCTCAGTTACATGAAAAGGAGAAAGCCACTTCAGTGGCTTCATGTGGTGCCTGACAAATGCAATGCATTTGAAAAATGAGAAATTGGTTTACTGCTAAGACAAAACAGCAACGCGATGATCAACAAGTTACTCCTATCCTTGCAGCCTCAAGTGCTCAGATCAGATGCTCATGTATTTTCATCAGAATATAATTTCCAGTGACAATACATTAAGAAAGTACCTCCTCTCAACGGAAGGAATGAGAAAACGCAGTCTACTGCAAATGGAGAGAATCACTTGAACTAAACAACAGGGAGGGACGAGCTGATTCAAGTATTCAACACCCGGCCACAAGTCCCAGCATATGAGCAGAGCAGTTTACTATATTGAAAAAAAATGAACACATGCTAGATTTGATCTTAGAATGATCCCAAGTTTTAAGCTGAACAAAATGACACACATATCAATACGAAGTTGTATAAAGAAAGTGTAACCGTCTCCAAAAGCAACAACCGAAAAAGAATCTCAACGGAATAAATCCAATAGATAATCCATTTTTCGTTTCTCCATTTCCAGCTGCTTCCCTCATCGACAGACAAATGACAAGTTGCATTCTTCTCCTCAGCATGGAAGTTCTAAGATGTCATCCACATTATTTTATATGTATTCTAGTTAAGATATAAGAAAAAAAATCAACACACAACAAAAAAGAATATTAAGCCCTCCCTGTCCTTGCTTTCGAAGGTGTTAAAATCATATTATTAAGGAATAAAAACTGTGCAGACAGATGCTAGCTCATTAATACCATTTTCTATACTCTAAAAGAGCAGAAAAAGATGTACTGCAATTTAGCATATGAAGAAGAAAACGTTCAATTTATTTCTTGTGCAGTGATTTGGAAATCACTGACAATTTCCATGACAATCAAGTTCAGGCTTCAGTAACGATGTATGGCTGCTGCTACTTAACAAAAATTGGGATTGTTTCATTCAATGCACTAAGCAAAGAGATTATTGGTTGTTCTTATTAAACTGTGCAGGAATAACCAACTTCATGTGTTTTCGGTAACACATTCTTTCCCAGCCTATAGCCACCGGAAAGGAACTTATTTAGTCATGGTAAAACAAATACTCAAGAGTGGACAGACGGTGAAACGAAGCAATGGCTTTGTGGCACTTGAAAGGGATTCTATTGTGCGTGAAGTTACACATCAAAGCTAAAGACAAATGCACACTATTATACTGCAATACTCAATTCTCTACTCTTCAGGCAAAAGTGCTCCGCTAACGTTTAAACCTTATAATGCATTGGTGATGGTGTCTAATTAGAGTTTCTATATGCAAGCAGTTCCACATAGAGACAATGGAGTGATGTTCATGTCCAATTAGCGTGATATATTGCAGAAAAAAGATACTTCTACTACTTCTGAACATCCAGGCTAGTGGTGCAGGGTAATGGAGAGGAGGCACGCACGCTGAACGCCCACATGACTGCACGAAGAAGCCGAGCGCCTCCCACTGAAGTCCCTCCCAGAAGTCGGGCATCTCCGATTTTGGCAGCTCCGGCATGGGTTCCGTCGACACCTCTAACCCAGTGGCCTCCCTTCCCACTGCGCCGCCCCCGCCTCCGCCGTGTCCCCGTTCATGTCGGGCGCCGCGACCCCATCGCGACGCTTCTTGCCTCCATGTTCCTCGAGGCACCACTGCGTGGGGAACAAGACCCCGCCACGGCGCAAGAGGGCCACGCGCAGTGCGGGGCGATAGCCTGAAGGGAGGAGAGGAAGCGGGACGACGCAGCGGCGGATGGCGTCTAGGGCGAGCGCGGGATCGAAGGACGGGGGAGCGAGGGACGAAGGCATGGGCTCGCAACCTTACAAGGTGAGCGCGAGGTCGTGGAAGCCCCTGGTTCACGCACTCAACTTCGAGTCGGAGATGGCGGCAGCACTGGCGCCGCGGATGGACCTCGCCCGTGCTCGTGCTCCGTTCGTGCCTGCCTCCGGCGGCGGGCTTCACCAACAGTGCGGCTTGCGGCCGCCACTCTCGATCTATCTCTGCACAAAAAAATACTGAGACAGTAATTATAAAGAATTAATAAGAAATCGAGCTTCATGAACAACAATTGTAGCTCGAAAGTACCATTTTTGGAAAACATTATTGTACACTAATTATTGAAAAATTAAAATTGGTAGCCCCGGCCCTGTAAATAAAAATCGTAGTAAAAAACAATTATTGCACAATAATGAAGAACAACTATTCTACTCTACTTCTAAGAACTAATTATAGCATCACATACTAACAATGATGATCTTGACCACCATGTAATAATTAGCTAGGAATTTAAATGTGTTTATAGACACCAACCTTTTGGATGATTGATTCACCACAATTTGAGCCTTGCACAAATGTCCAATTGAAAAAGTGCTCTCTAGAATGGAGAAAGAACTAGAATGAGAATCAAGCAATGTAGCCATCAAAACGAAGTTAATTAAGCAACAAAATCAAAGGAGTGGATGTTTGTTACTAACCTTAAAGCAAAAGGATCAAGCCATTCTTCAAAATCCAAGCGCTAGCTTCATGGTGAAGAGCAGCCGCAACAATGGAGGGAAGGGCCCAAACGCGTGCCTCTGTTCTCGGGATGGAAGAGAGGAGGAAGAAGAGGACGGTTGCGGCCTTTTTGTGTTGTAGGCTTATCACCGTCGGTTCTTAGCTAGAACCGACCATGATAGATCCAAATCACTGTCGGCTCTTGGCTTGAACCGGCAGTGATAAGTGGCCACCAAAACACTGTCGGTTCAAGCCACAAACCGGCAGTGATGTGGTCCTTCACTGCCGGTTTTAGTTCAGCCCTAATTATTTTCTCATTTTCAAGCTCATAACCGATAGTGAGGTTACATCACTACCGGTTCTCATAAATTCGGCAGTGATAAGGCCGGCAGTGATGTCCAAATCTGTAGGAGTGCTTATAACATGGAACCCCTTGCACACGAGTTCCAAAGACTTATTCTATGGAAGATTATTTGGCTCTGAAGACAAGTGTCCCAAACAATTTGTGGAAGTTTCTGAAATAATAATTAAGAAATGTGGAGGTGTGCCATTAGCTATCATTATTACCACATCAGGTTTGTTAGTGAATAAGATGGGAAATGTAAAACAGTGGAACGAATATTGTGACTCTATTGGTTCGGGGCTTGGAAGCAATCCTGATATGGAAAATATGAGGAAGATATTATCTCTTAGCTATTATGATCTACCAGCTCATTTGAAGACATGTTTATTGTATCTAAGTGTATTTCCAGAAGACTATGCGATTGTTAAAGATCGGTTGATTTGGAGGTGGATAGCTGAAGACTTTGTCCCACCTGGAGAAGGGGGCCAAAGTTCATTAGAGCTTGGGGAGAGTTACTTCAATGATCTTGTAAATAGAAGCCTGATCCAACCAGCAGATATTTATGAGGAAGGTATGCCTACTGCTTGCCGTGTGCATGACATGGTGCTTGATCTCATTTGTTCCATATCAAGAGAAGAAAGTTTTGTTGCAACAGTACTAGGTGATGCCAAGCAGAACACACCTTCTTGGGGAAACAAGGTTCACAGGTTGTCCCTCCACAATACTACTTGGCCTACAATAATGGACTTGTCAAAACTAAGGTCACTTACTATCTTCGGTGATGCCATAATTAAATTGATGCCATCCATTTCATGTGTTCACCTTTCTCCGTGTATAAGGTTGCAGTCTTCAGGAACTTAGAAATTTGAGTTTCGTTGCACACATATTTCACCTGAGGTATCTAGGTCTAAGAAATACTGGATATGCTGGTGAGCTCCCATCAGAGATAGGGAAGCTACAGTTTTTGCAGACATTAGACCTAGGTGAAGGATATATAGAAGAATTGCCATCGACTATTGTGGGGTTAAGACGACTGATGTTCTTGACTCTTAATTGGACTATATGTCTGCCAGATGGATTGAAGAATCTAACATCCTTAGAAATGCTGCGGTGTGCAGTTGTTGATTCTGCACACATCGCCGAAGAGCTGGGCCATCTGACGCAACAGAGGATCCTCAATGTTAGTCTAAAATTTGACAACGAAGCAGGAGATGATGAGGGCATTTGCAAATGTTTAGTGGAGTCCCTAGGCAAACTGCAAAAAATCCGACGTCTAGCAGTAGCCTCAACAGACGGGGTGATGAATCTTGAAGGCTCGGTGGAGTCCCTAGGCAGCCTGTCCTATCATCGTATTCGTAACACGTACTGGTTTGTTGCCCACATGGATTAATCCTGGATCGCTTCTCCTCGTATCCTTTCTGGAGATAGAAGTGGCTCATCAGGTGCGAAGGGAGGACATCCAAGTCCTCAGGATGCTGCAGGCTCTTCGTTTTGTGAAAGTGGATGTGTCTGGTGACAACACAACAGTGCTGGGAAGGTTCATTGTTGGACCTGATGCCTTCTTGGTTTTTCAAACTGTGCCGTCTATGTTCCCACGAGGAGCTATGCTCAGGCTTGAAATTTTTTATTTCCGTATCTGCCCAGAGGATTTCTTGGAAGGTGAATTCAGGGCGTGTTTAGTTGGCGAATTTTTTTGGTTTTGGCTACTGTAGCACTTTCGTTTGTATTTGGTAATTAGTGTCTAATTATAGACTAATTAGGTTTGAAAGTTTCGTCTCGCGATTTCTTACCTAACTGTGCAGTTAGTTTTGTTTTTCGTCTACATTTAGTACTCCATGCATGTGCCGTAAGATTCGATGTAATATTTTAAGGTGAAATTTTTTTAAACTAAACAGGGCCTCACTACCGATGACCTGACCTTGGACCTCCTCCCGTCCCTTCGCACTGTGTCTGTTGGTCTTTATCGAGGAGAGAGAAAAAGATCGACGAACAATAATTGTTCTTGAAAATGGAAGAGAATCTGAGGCAAGCGGCGGATGGCCACCCCAACCACCCTTCCGTTAATATTTTTGGCTTCTTTGATTGGATTGGATTCTACGTGTCGCTTACTAAATGCATGTACGTACTCGATCACTCCTTTTTTTTGTACAGAATGCATGCATAATCTTCTACTGCTGTTAATTAGTGCACTCATGACTTGTTCCCTGCATGCATGTTTTTCGTATCGTAGCAGTTCTCGGCTTTTGAGTATAGCCTGTATAATTGGTGCGAATTACATATTCTGCCGCGGGTCTTCTTTTGCAAGCTGTGCACGAGAACGGCTACCTACATTATACTGGGATGTAGTTAAAAACGTCGCCTGCGCTCATCTACAAGCAGCCGCCTCAGGGCCGGCCGGTGTCCTCCGTCCCACTGTCCCAGCCACGCTGCGTTGGTGTACACGGAGGAGGGGCACAAGCTGTGTGGTCAAGCAAATGGTGGAGCTCCGTTCCTTTGCTCGTGTTTTTCCTTTAATGACGAGGTCATAAAATATTGTTGTCCCGCTGCAGTCAGCTTCACGTGCACAACTGGAAACATGGACTTTGCCGAGTGTCTATGGCACTCGGCAAAGACTTAAAAACACTCGGCAAAGGCTTTGCCGAGCGCTGCACTCGGCATAGGCCACTCGGAGAAAAAAAAGTCGGCAAAGCCTTCTTTGCTGAGTGTCATTTGTTGGGCACTTGGCAAAGCCTTTGCCGAGTGTCGACCGAACACTCGGCAAAGAAAAGTGGCCGTTAACCATGACGGTTGCTTTGCCGAGTGTCTCAAGGACGACACTCGGCAAAGAATTTATATAATTTTTTTCCCGAAATTGTTTGCCGAGTGTCGGCTCTCGGCAAATAATTTTTATTTTTTTTTAAAAAAAGTCTCTTTGCCGAGTGCCGTGGCCTGACACTCGGCAAATCCTCCCACTTTGCCGAGTGCCCTGGCCTGACACTCGGCAAAGCCTTCCCCTTTGTCGAGTGCTGTGGCCTGACACTCGGCAAAGAGCCTAGCTTTGCTGAGTGTAATTGACACTCGGCAAAGCTAGAAAATCTGGTGTTTTCCTCCAGTTTTTGCCAGCTTTGCCGAGTGCAGTGGCCATTGCACTCGGCAAAGAGGCCTTTGCCGAGTGTGACACTCAGCAAAGCGTCTATAATTGCCTATTTTTTTTCTTGTTTTTACATTCCAATACTTCCATCACACATTCAAACAGAAAATTTCACAGATATTCATCACATTCTTCAAATCCATGACATTCATCACTTACATATCACAAACATAAGTGTCTGAATATATCACATCGAAATTCACAAGTTCAAAATTTGTTCATCATCTAACATCCAGTTTATTACCACAATTCCATGAACATGGATAGGTTCAAACTCATTACCAAATACGCCTTTGATCGGGCGGTGACCGATACGGATCCTGAGGATTAGGCGAATTATTGGAACCCGCCGATTGAGGCTGCACAAAGGAGTATATATTCTATGTGTTAGACATGTACTTGGCTAGCTAATTAGAAATTACTTGCATGTAAGAGACTGCAATTAACTTTCATACTCACAGGTGTAGGTCCATCCCAGGGTGAGGCTGCAGGTGGAGGTGGTGGAGCGAGCAACTCAGGTGGCAAAGCAAGACCCGTATGTTGCCCAAGGCTTTGAAGAAAGGCCATGATGCTCGACAACTGAGTCTCATAGGTCTCCGTGATGCCCGTCAATCTACTCTCATAGTTCTGACACTGGGACATCAGCTGCGCCTGCAGCTCTTGACGCTGCCGAGCTTCTTCTTCGAGCCGGGCCTACAACATTTCACTCTAATGTTCCAGTAATGCATAGCAAATTACGGTGTGTAAAAGTCAATATACGACGAGTCAAACTGAAATTACCTCGAGGACGTCGACCCGTTGCTGTGCAACGGTCGGCCGTGTGCGTATGGCCGGGCTCTCGCTCGTGCTCCGGGCTCGGATCGTGGAGAGGTCGGGGACAGCGGTCGAGTCGATTGTGCCATCGGCAATCCACATGTGGCCGTGCTTCTTCCCTCCTCCCAACCTCATGACGAGCTCCGTATCAATCTCCTGCGTGCACGGGTCGAAGTCTGGCCCATGGACTGACCTTGCCGCCGACGTGTACTTGCTGATGCGGGTGTGGACGCTCGGGTTCGTGTACTCCTGGGACCCGTCCTCCAGGCTGAAGGAGACGTCGGACGTCGCCTTTCCCTTGTGGGACATGCACCATGCCTGGAAGTCCGAGCACTCCTGGCCTTGATGTGCCGCCCTCTACGAGAAAGACATCAAGAAGATTAGAAATCAGTCATAATTGAGCATCAGAATAGATAAATGAATTCGTGTACCCATGCGTCTCTGTATCCGACGAGGTTGCGGCTGCCTTGATGGTGTGCTGGTCCTTACATCTCCAAACATCGTTCCCTTGCAGCGTTGTGCATCGAGGCATACCCCTCCGTAAACCAGTTGTCCACAATCTTCTCCCCTGCCTCGGGATACGATCCGCACCACCAGGGAATCATCTGCATGTCATCCGGTAATTGACATATAAGATGATCGAATTAAACCTACTTATTCTCAAAACGAATCAATCTGGATGCTCTCATGTACCTCAATGTTCATCTTTGTTTGAACTTATCATATGAAGTAGGGGCAAATAAAATGTTAAGTTTACTTACTTTTGCCCTTCAGGGCGAATCACTGGGCGGCAGTGGGGAAGCGGAAAAGCAGGGAGGCTCGCGGGACCTCGCAGGTACACCCTCGAAGCAGAGGAAGAGGAACTCGTGCCTCCCGCCAACGCCTCCTGCTCGTCAAAGGGCGCCTCCTCCTCGTCGCCCTCGGGGGGCATCTGCGAAACCTCCTCCTCTTCCTCCTCCTGCTCCTCCTCCTCGTGCGCCCTCTCCATGGGCGTCACCGGCTCTGCCTCCTCCGACACCTGGAGACGTGCCGGGGGCCTCCTGCTCCTCGGGTTCCTCCTCCTCCTCGCGTCCGACCCCTCGGCCTCCTCCCCCGCTTGGTAAAGCGACCTGACGGGCCTGTGACGCCCACCCGCCATCTTTGTTGAATCACCTGAAAAAAAGAAAAGTATTACATGTATTAGAAATAATATTCATGCTTAAAACACTTAATTAGAAATAGATGCAAAATGATAATCAACTTTAGTATTACATTTATTAGAAATAATCGTTATTATTTGGATTAGCTGGATCATAGGTCTCATCATCGCTATCAACATTGTCCAAATCATCAACATTAATTGAAGGAGGAATGTTGTCTTCATTGTCATTGCCTAAACGTAATCGCTCAAGCATTTGTAGGTCATCCACATTTTGGACCTCATCTCCAGCATCCTCATCATCAACCATTTCATTCTCTACTTCCATTTCTATCGCTTCGGTTAAGTCTATCACAAAGCTTCCTTGTAGCCCTTTTTCTTGAAAGAACTCTTCCTCATATGTGTTTGGATTGAAGTTGTAATCTTCATCGTTTGGGGCAGGTAGTTTACCATGTGGTGGTACCTTGTGCACAATAGCCATACCCTTAAGCTATTCGTCTTGGCACGCGTATGGCATATAATACACCTGGTAGGCCTGTTGAGCCACAATATAGACATATTTTCCTGGATAGACAGAATCTGGTTGAATCTCCACTAGCCCAAGACTAGGGGTCTGTCTCGTTGCTCCAGGATCAAACCAGTGGCATTTGAATATGACAGGATCACATATGGAGATGTCCTGGTTTCTAAGCACCGTACGTGACAACGTGCACGAAACTTTTTTAAATTTTTACCATAGGCTCCACATGCTATATAACGATGCATCCACAAGTTTCGTGATTTTCTGAATTCGTTTGAATTTTATACAATTTAAAAACATTTTGGCCGTAACTTTGTCCTCATGTTTCGTTAATAAGATGTGAAAAATATCCCGCAAGTTCCTGGATATGGCCTCAAAACACACTCACTAGCGTGACAATCATTTTTTGAATGATTAGATTTCATTATTCGATGCACTTGCAGTTCAAACTTGCTTTTTGCGAAATAAATCAACAAAACAAAAATAATTCTAAAAATATAGTAAAAAGTCACAAAATTCAACCAAATTTTAACATGTACTTTAAAGCACTGTATAAACCCTAAAGAAAAAATCTGAGAGTAAAAATAATAAAAAAATTCTTTGCCGAGTGCCAGACCTGATACTTGGCAAAGGGGGTCTTTGCCGAGTGCCAGAGACAGGGCACTAGGCAAAGAAAATAAACAAAAAATTAAAAAAACCTTTGCCGAGTGCTAGAGATAGAGCACTCGGCAAAGAAAATAAACAAAAAAAATAAATAAAAACCTTTGCTTGAGTCTGCGAGCAGGGGCACTTTCGGCAAAAAATAAACAAAAAAATAATCTTTGGCGAGTGCCGAGGCAGGCACTCGGCAAAGAAAATAAACAAAAATTAAAAAAAATTAAAAAATTAGATTGTTGAGTGTTCGACGGCGACCACTCAAGCCAAGCCTAACGGTGGGTGGTCGCGCCGTCACCTCGGTTAGCCTTTGTCGCCGAGTGTTTAGCTTTCTTTGAGAGCCCGACACTTAAGTGAAGGGAGGCTTTCTTAGAGTGTCGCACTCGGCAAAGACCAACACTTACCTTTGCCGAGTGCCCGATATTTGGAAGTCGGCAAAGTAGGAAACACTCGACAAAGCCCCTGTTTCCCATAGTGGTGGAAATAGACATAGATAAAACCTTTAGATGCCGTGTAACGGAGCGGCCGGCGCGGCGACTCCCGCCCGCCGCAGCTGAGCGGACGCCGACGGCCACCTGCCCCCCTGGGCGCTCAGGTTTTGCCCCGCCAGCTTCCCCCTCCCTCCCCTTGGCCCGGTTCCCCCACCTTCCTCGCCGCACATTTCCCTCCCCGACCCCCGAGCTGTCAGATCCAGATCTGCATCCGCATGGTGTCCTCGCCGTGCGTCTGGCCGGCGGGGGTGGTGAAGGCCCTCGTCGCGGCCTCTCCGGACCGGCTCCTGGCGGCGCTCGCGCGCGGGCCTGGGGATCCAGGCGCCTCATCTTCCCGTCCGGCTGAGGTGGACCTGCTGCTGGGGGATGCGCCGCCGTCGCCTTCCCGCCCTGCCTAGGCAGACATGGCGGGTGAGGAGCTGCCTCCGGCGCAAGTCTTCTTCGATGGCTCCCCGGGACTGCTCCGGGAGGTGCTCGATCGAGGTCCTGGTGAGCGTGTGCCTCTCAGTGACTCGGAGGACCTCTCGGAGTCAATGTCCGAGGTGGAGCGGGGCACCTTGCCGCCGGATGGCAAGGGGAAGGAGGTTCTGCAGCCTCGCAGGCGCCATCGCCATCGTCGTCTCCGTCATCGGAGGCGGCATGATGCTTTCCTAGGGGCGGCCCGCCGCGCCCACCCGCCTGTGCGTGGTGGGGTTGGAGGCGCCGCTCCACCTCGATGTCGGGCCTCGCCGGCGCATCCTGTGCGGGCGCGGGGTTCGCCGGACGCGGAGGGGTTCTATGAGGTGAGGAGCCGGCGATTTGGCCGCTCTCGCACCCCTCCGCGATCGCCCAGGGCTGTGCCTCCGGAGCTCGAGGGCCTCTGCTTCTGGTGTCTTCAGCCGGGGCACGTCAAGGCGCAATGCCGGTCGCTGCCGCGATGTTACCGCTGCTGGGGCGAGGGGCATCAGGCTGCGGGGTGTCGCCTTCCGCCACCCCGGGGGCGGGTCGGTGGCAAGCGGGATCGCTCCCCGCGCCCGCACGATGTTGCTCGTCGTGTCTCTGCCCGCCGGCGCTCTTCTCTGCGACGCCGGCCGGCGGGTCACAGCGCCGGCCCCGCCGACACCATCTCCGGCCGGTCGGTCTCTACTGGCCATTCCTCGTCCCTCCCGCGGTGGCTTTACACTTCTTCGGCTTCGCCGGGGGCCCCGCCACCGCCACCACCCCCACCGCCTCCGCCGCCGCTCCCGCTGCCTACGGTGGCCAGGGCGCAGGGGGGTGCCGCTGGTGAACCTGGAGGTGGTGCCAGGGCTCAAGACGACTTGGGTCTGGTACGGCTTGATGCCGGCGTGGCCCGCCGGAACGTCGCCATGGTGGTCGTGCCGCGCTCGGCTGAGATGCTGGCAGAGGAGGACTCGCTTCATGAGTTGCGCTGGTCGCGACTGTGGGTGGCAGTAAACCTTATGTGTCCACAGCCATGATCCACGCTGCACTCTACAACAGATTTGAGATCCGGCGTGATGATGTGGACATTCGAGGACATGAGCCAGAGGATTTCATTGCTCTCTTCCGCCGGCGTGAGGATCGTGACCGCGTTCTGGCGTCCCGCCCCTGGGGTGACCTCATGCCCCTGCGCTGGCGACCGTGGACGAGGATGGCCGGGGACTTCGGCTATCGGGTCCTCGTGGCGCTACGGTGCGTGCCGACGCACGCCAGGAACACGGTCACCGCGCAGACTATTCTTGGCCGCTGTTGCGCGGAGGTGGAATTGACGGACCTGCGCGACCGTCCAATGGAGGACGGCAGGGAGTTCTTTGTCGTGGCTTGGTGCAGGCACCCGAGTTATATTGAACCAGAGAAGGTGATTTTTATCCCTGAACCGTTGGTTCCGGGGGTGGAGGAGAATATGCGGAGAGGGCTCCATTACCTGGTGCGCGTCCGTCTTGTGGCACACCAGAACGTCGCGGCTCCGCCTAGACCGCCACGTGATGGTGGCCACGGAGATGACGGTGGTGATAGACCTGCTGATCGGGATGAACGCGATCGCCGTGGCGGGGATGGGGACGATTATTGGCCATCGCCGCGACGTGACTCCGACGGCGAATCTTCTGCGACAGACCCGTGGCACAGGAACGACCATCCGACCTGTTCCTACCCGCCTGGCGGCTCAAGCGGCAGCGACGGGGCGGGAGCGCTCGACTCGCTCGTCTGCGCTCGAGAGGGGGGGGATCGCCTGCCCCCTCATGCGTGCCTAGGAGGACGCTGTGGTGGTTCAACATGCGGCGCCTGAGATGGACTTGGCGGAGGACCGGTGGCCCATGTTGTCCTTCCCGCTGACACCGGTGGCGACCTTGGGGGCCCGGGTCATGCCCGCCTCGCCAATGACGGACCCGTGCTTCCGGATCGCGCGCCTCGGAGCGTCTTCCTCGCGGATGGGGGTTCATTGGCCGCTTTCTGGCCGTGGCACCGCAGCTCTTGCAGGACGGGAGGTGCGTCCAAACCCCGCCGCTGCAGCGGACGCCGGACTGGTGGCTGGAGGTGGCGGACCTCGAGCTTAGACAGCCCGTGCCTGGGGTCTGCACGCTGAGCGAGCCCGCCGCTTCCCTGGATGGGGGCCGGCCGGACTGGTGGCCGGAGATGGTCCACGCAGAGCTCCAGGGCCGCGCGGAGCTCCAGGCGCAGCGGGAGACCGTCGTCTTCGCGCTGCCTGAACTGCCGGCCGTGTGTACGCCACCTCCGCAGCCGCGTGCCACCCTGGACGCCCACGGAGCCCCGAGACCGGCCGGGCGGCCGCCTGCTGACGTGGGGCTATCGATCCAGGAACAGATTGAGGCGGCGGTGTGTCTTCCGCTGGCAACGCCAATCATCGCCGGTGGCCCGCACCTGCGCCGTTCCCGCACGCCGGCTTCGGTGCAAACACTCAGGAGGAGCGGCCGCATCGCAGCTATGCCGCGGGCGCCAAATACCACCCTGCAGGCCCTGCGCCTGTTGCTCAAGAAATTGGGAATCCATGTGCACGAAAACGCGCCGGAGCTGGACATTGAGGCCAAGATCAGGAGTGCATTCCGTGCCGGCAAACTGTCCACGAACAAGAAGAGGTGCCTCAACATGCTCCTCATTGGGGGCCTGGACGTGGCGTCAATGGATCTCGACCTCGATGGTCTGGAGATCGACTTGGCCTGAGCATCTTTGCTTGGCCCGGAGCGCAAATGGTTTACCTATGTTAGCGAGCACTTCGATTTTCTGTTGGAACGCACGGGGCCTCAACGACCGTGCGCGTCGCAACGTGGTCAGGACCTTCATCCAAACGCATAGGCCGTCAGTTGTCTGTATCCAGGAGACGAAACTCTCCTCAGTCTGTAATGTGCTTGCTAATGCTATCTTAGGACCGGCTTTTGACTACGATTGTTTGCCTTCTGTTGGGACCGCTGGAGGGATTCTGGTGGGCTGGGCAAGGGAGATCTGGAGGCCCGTGGCGCCGGCCGTCCGGGGCAGGTGCATGCTCTCGGTCTCGCTTGGGTCGGTGTCGGCCACGACTGGTGCCTGGTGCTTCACTGGGGTCTACGGACCGCAAGATGATGATGGCAAGGTCCACTTCCTCGATGAGTTGCTGCAATTTGGGAGGAGTTTAAGTCTGCCTTGCTCATTGGAGGAGACTTCTACTCGGCCGCATCTGCTTATGGGGCCATGTTCCTTGGCTCTTCGCCGGTCAGAGGCGCTGCACAGTTGTGGACGACGGCTGCGCCGCCCCGTGTCCGCTTCTTCTATTGGCTGGCTTTGCAGGATAGATGCTAGACCGGCGAGCGTCGTCACCGCCATGGCCTTCAACCAACGGACGCTTGCATCACCTGCGACCAGGAGCCAGAGATAATTGATCACATCTTGCTGGGCTGTGCGTACAGCCGCGAGGTCTGGGCGACCTAGATGGACTGGCGTCACTTGCCTAATGTGGATGTTCGCCCGCAGCCGTTCATAGAGTGGTGGCTGTCCAATAGGAAGCGCGTCGACAAGCACTTCAGGCGCGGGTTTGACTCCATCGTGTTCTTGATCGGTTGGATGCTCTGGAAACAAAGGAACGCGAGGACCTTCGATGGCAGTACACGTACAGCGAGGGAGCTCGCCGTGGACATTCGCCTTGTCGCGGAGGACTGGCGAATGGCTGGGTACAGGCTGCTCGGCATCCTTCTGTCCGGACGCTGAGCGCAGTCCCGTGGAGTTCTTAAATTTGGTTCAATCATGTAGTACCCTGTGTTGTCCGGTGGTTGCGTGTGTGTTGGCCTTGGTAATCAGAGTATTACCGAGTTTGTTGTTTCGCTTAAAACTCTCTTTCTGCTTAATGAAATACGCGTCGAAAGGCGTCGTCTCAAAAAAAAAAAGATAGACAACATCATGTCACCCACTGTTCACTTAGATCACGTAGAGTTTCAAATGTTTGCTTGAACGACTGACCCCATACAGCATGGATCCCCACCGGCCTGCACCACTCAAGTCTTAGTGAGCAGTCCGGTGCTCCACAGGACTACTGAGCAGGTGTGCTCGCCGATTGCTCATATGGGCCCGCGACTAGCAACTGAATCCTGGGCTGCAACACTAGTCCTGGTGGCCAGACCTTTGCCCAGAGCGACACGAGCATGTTCACATTCAAAATTTTCCCAAAGCAAAGTCCTATGAGCAATGGGGCCTCGTTCGTTTCGCTAAAATTTAGCTTATGCTGAAATGTTGTGAAAGAAAAATACTGTTTATTTGCTGAAAAGTACTTACGAGAGGAAATGTATTTTCATGATGAGATGCTGGTGATTTCATTCAAGATATAAGCAAGGGTGAGGATATATATTCCTTGCCATTTGTTGACAGCAAACAAGATTAGAGGAGATTGCATTTGAGTTGGAGGATCAAATACATGCAGAAAAAAAATCAAAATTTGCGGAATTTGGAACATATCTGCAAATTCCAAAAAAAAAAACTGCCCATGCCGGTTTTGTCAAACAGGCCCACGGCAGTTTTTTGCAGCGTTCCAGCACCGCTTGCAGAAAATGGCCCAGGCCGGTTTACGCCCTAGTTTGCTAATATCTTTTGCATTTATGGGCCATTAGGATCCCTTCATTTTGAAGGAATTGAAATCTATATAATGGATTATGCTATTTAGCTTGGAATTTTATATTCCATAATATTTTCAAGCTTACAAATAAGTCTATCTCAAATTCATAGGGTGGGAGATAGAAATGGATTATATAGATCACTATACTATAATTCTATTCTTCAACTTATAGCACACTCTTCAACTCACTTTTCTACAATAGAAATGCAACATATAAGTATGTCCCTTGTATGCCTAACGAATAAATATACAAATATATTCCATATACAACTATACTAACTTAATTAATCTGTACCAAAATTATAATTATTAGAATGAATTTAATTCCAAAGAATCCAAACGGGCCAAATATAAAAGTATATATATTCCTTTATATATCTCCTTGGCGAGTTGGATAGGTCTACATTTACTATTTTGGTGTATCGTAGGATCGAGCAAGGATATCAATTCCTGGCTTTGAGATATGCCAGCATTAATTAATGTGTCATTTACGCTAACAATTTCACTATATATAAACGAGCACAAGCATCAGGCCATTTGCATCCCGAAACACAAGAATAGTACTTGCGAGTGTTGATACGTTGAGGGCTGCTGGCATTTGCATCCTTCTCATGGTCACGTCTTGCACCCTCATGGCACCCACCTTGGAAGCAGGTATATACACACATACACACGAATGAAGCTAGTACATCAAATATTTATTTTATATATATATATATATATATATAAATTCTTAATTCCGTCGTTCAATTGAAGCTACTTTATTTACGTCTTTGCTGCTGCACCCATACTTGATGCCGAGACGACGACTGCGGCTGGCGATGGTAAGCTGCATACATGCTTCACTACCCGAAACGTTAAATTTGTCGAGTGGTTTTATGTTTGCTGAGTATATTCTTTTGGGATCTCGGCAAACAAGTTCTTTGCCGAGTGTTACGCTAAAAACATTCGGCAAAAAAAAAAAAACACTCGGTAAAGAGGGGGTTTGCCGAGTGTTTTTTTACACTCAGCAAATCAATAAAATCTTTTTTTCTGGGAAAGAAGGAGAAGAAAAAAAATGAAAAAAACTTTGCCGAGTGTCCGGATCTAGGACACTCCGCAAAGGACAAAATATCTATTTCGCAAGCCCCCCCTCCCCCCTTCTTGATTACCCCGCGAGCGCCTGGCCCACCCCCAACGCAGCAGCGCGCCTCCCTCCTCCACTCTCTCTCTCCCTCCCTCGGCGGCCATCCCCCCCTCCTCTCCTGGCGGCGCCACCATCCCTCTCCCCACAGCAGCGGTGCCACCCATCCCTCACGGTGGCGGCGCCACCCATCCCAAACCCCGTCCTACTACGCCGACGTCTCCACTGCGACAGAGTTTGCGGCCACCGGCGACCAGCGCGCCTCTGCTCCCGACGGAAGAGGTATGCCCTCCTCTCTCTTTCTCTCTCAGATCCATGGTGGATCCGTCCCTTACCCTCTCTCTCTTGCAGATTCGCGGCGAGGGAGGCCTCACCGTCGTCACAGGCATCAACTACGACAGCGGGGGAGGCCTCACCGGCGACGTTCCTCCCCTCCCCTCCTTTGCTTGCAGGTCCGGTGGCCGGAGGCCGGATCCGACAGCGCGCGGCCGGATCTCGACGGTGGGCGGCCGGATCTCCCTCCACCTTCTTCTTCCCCGGCGGGCCTCCCTCCCCTCCCCCTTCTTCTTCCCCGGCCTGGGCGTGGTGGTGGTGCGGCGTGGTGGGGCCCTCCCTTCTTCCCCGGCGTGGTGGCGGCGGCGTGGATGGTGGTGGTGCGGCGTGGTGGGGCCCTCCCTTCTTCCCCGGCGTGGGGGCGGCGGCGTGGATGGTGGTGCGGGCGTGCCTTTTTATTATTTTTTTTGAAAAAAAGGTTTGCCGAGTGTTTTTTGGACACTCGGCAACTTCTTTGCAGAGTGCCCGACAGAAAACACTCGGCAAACTAGCATTTGCCGTTAACAAGTTTGCCGAGTGTAACACTTGACAAACCCTTTACCGAGTGTTTTTGGGACTTCGCCGAGTACCCCTGGCACTCGGCAAATCTCCTATATCCGGTAGTGCTTGAGCCATATATATATACTGTGATCCAATCCAACAACCGTGCGGAAGTTGGTTTGGAAATAGTATGGAGCAATAATAGATACGTAACGGATCGACTTGCTCTTGCATGTAAGAAAAGATTTACAATCTGCCAAAACTAGAGTTAAAGTTCCAATCTTAATATTACTAATTATAGGATTCAATATAGGCACAACGTTAATACTCACCAGACTCACTAAGGAAAAAAAGATAATAATAGTAATTCTCAAAGTAATTAGAAACTTCTGACCAATAATTTGATAGATTCTAATCATCATTGATGACAGTACCCATTGAATCTGTTATATATAATTTATAAAAATATACACAACCGTGTCATTATGAAAATACATAAAGTAACCCCTAATCTTCCATCCTAAAATTGGAGGCTCTAACTAAGGCATGATTTTGAATCTTACCGGACGTGGTAGAAAAAAAATAAATCATAGAAATTCTCACAATAATCAGAAACATCTAGCCTTTAATTTGAAGATTCTAATTACCATGATGATAATAGCCATTGGATCAAATATAAATCATAAAAAATTACACAACTATATCATCATAAAAAATACATAAAGTAATCCTACCATATCTATATCCAAGCATGCCATTGTCTATATCTATATCCATATCTATATCTATATCCCTTATAATCCTACACTCCACCATAAGTCTATCTTGACATGAGAGCCATCCACATGAGCAAGCCACTAGCTCATGCAGTTTATGACAGGTGTGTATTCAAGCAAGTTATCCACATAAGCGAGACAGTTCATCCATCAACATACATTTATTTATCTGCATCAGTATACCAACCATCCACAAGAACTCATTCACGATTCCCGCACCAAAATGTGGGTATGGTTCTACTTAATAAAAAATTTCCTTCTTCTGGCGGTTACAAAAAAATGGAGTGTTCTCTGTTAAGTCAATGTACAATTTTCTTGTCATTAATGGTGTAAAGGTTTCCCATGAAATTTGGCGTACGAAGGTGCCACTAAA